ATGGAAATATATTCAATCTAATATCAAATTTGATAAAAGACCAAGTTTTTGTAGAAACTTAAATTGAAAAGGTGCTTAGTGGAGAAAAACAAGCTAAACGGTGACGCCTGGAAAATAGAGAACATTTTATTAAAACAATTGTTATGGAAAGGGAAAACTATGCTCCCAAAGAATACTTAGCCAATATCTCAATTTAATATACATAAGTAGTTAATGATTGCTTGTAAATACTTACTAATTAAAATCTATATATATATAAATGTTGTGTTCGCATGTCACGGTCGTCAAAACTCGAGAACGGCTGAACCGATTTGAATAATTTTTTTTTTGTATTGCTCGGTATAATACCGGAAGCAATGATATCGCAAAAAATTGGAGGGTTGCCACCTATCTGAAAATTTTTAAACCCAATTATATTGATAAAATAAAAAAATTATAACAATATGGGTACCAAATTAAAGAGATTTAAAAAAAATAACTGCTGGAAATATTTTTGATGAGGGTTGCCACCTATTTGAAAATTTTAACTCAGTAAAATTGATAAAATAAATGAAATATTACCATGTGGGTGTCAAACTAAAGAGTTTTAATAAGGCAGGGTTGCCACCTATTTGAAAATTTTAACACAGTTATATTGATTAAACAAATGAAATATTGCAATGTGCGTAGCGAACTAAAGAGTTTTTAAAAGACCTACAGTAGACAGTTTCTTTAAGGAGGGTTGTCACCTGTTTCAAAACTCAATCAAATTGGTAAATAATAAATGAAATGTTACAATATCGGTACCAAACTAGAGGCATTTGAGAAATCTTGATTTAGAAATTTATATCTATATATAAAAATGTTGTGTTCGTTTTTCACGGTCATCGAAACTCGAGAACCGTTGAACTGATTTGAATAATTTTTTTTGTGTTGTTCGGTACAATACCAGGATCACTTATATTAAAAAAATTTTGGAGAAATGCCACCTATTTGAATACTTTTAAATCCAGTTATATAAAATAAATTAAATATTGCAATACGGGTATCAGATTAAGGAGGTTTAAGAAAGATAACTGCTGGAAATATTTTTGAGCACGGCTGCCACATATTTGAAAATATTAACTCAACTAAATTGATAAAATAAATGAAATATTGCAATATGGGTATAAAATTAAATACGGTTAAATAAGATATCTGCTGGAATACTTTTGAGGAGGGTGCCACCTATTTGAAAATTTTAACTCAGTTAAATTGATAAAGTAAATTAAATATTGCAATGTGGGTATCAAATTAAATAGGGTTAAGAAAGATATCTTCTGGAATTCTTTTGAGGAGGGTTGCCACCTGTTTGAAAATTCAACTCAATTTAAAGGTAAAATGAATGACCTTTTACAATGTAGGTATCAAATTAAAGAGATCTAAGAAATATGACTGTTCCAAATATTTTTGTGTAAGGTTGCCACCTATTTGAAAATTATAGTTCGGTTAAATTGATAAAATAAATGAAGTAGGTATTTCAATATGGGTATCAGACTTTAGATTTTTAAGAAGGCTTACAGCCGAAAATATGTTTGAGGAGGGTTGTTATCTGTTTGAAAATGTAACTCAATTTAATTGATAAAAGAAATAACTTATTATATAGGTGTCAAATTAAAGAGTTTTAAGAAATATGACTGCTGGAGACATTTTTGAAGAGGATTTCCACCATGCTATTTAAATCCTTCTGTGATTAACGGCTTGTTTACTTCAGAGGAAATAAGGGGCCAAATCAAAGAGTTATACCCCATATACTTTAATAATTTCAAAATTAGGTTCACTCAATCACAAGTTAAAGATTTACAAACAGTGGAACAACAGAGAAAGAGCACATAGAAATGCAATAGAGAACAAAAAACAAATCATTGAAACATTATATTTCCCTCAAATGCAATCATAGACTAATAAAATTGTCAAACAATGTAGAATTTGCGCTGAAAACAAGTACGACAGACACCCAAATAAACCCAAGATAAAACCTACTCCAATTCCTACTCCATATCGATATATTCATAGCTGAGAAGAAACTACTTCTAACAGCCGTAGATAAATACTCAAAGTATGCTCAAGCAAGAGTTATTAAATCTAGATCAACAGAAGACATACGCGAACCCCTCAGGAATATACTTTTTGCATTTGGAATACCACAGACTATAATTATTGATAACGAGAAATCACTCAATTCCC